GGAGAGGGTCAGAGTCAAGTCAGAAATGCATGTATGTGCATGTATGTGGGCATGTGTGTCAGTATACGTATGTCCATGCATGTTGTGGTGTATGCATATGCATGCCTGTATGTTGTGTGTGCAATGTGTATGTGTGCATGCATACATGTGTGGACGTGGCATACACATGTATATCTGCTCACATGGGTGCGCTTACATGTGCACATCTATATACACATATGCACGCCTTGTGTGCATACGTGTTGTGCATATGCGTGTGAGCATTTGTGTATGTGTTGTGCATATGTATGTGTGCATGGGTCTGTATATATATGGGCATATGTGTGTGCATATGATTCATGCCCATGTGTAGATGTGTGTGTGTGCGTGTGTGTGTGTGTGTTGGCTTCCCCATCCCGAGCCTTCCAAGGGTCTGTCTCAGGGATGACAGATGACTGAGGTTCCCAGGAAACCAAGATGACGGACACTAAAGCTGCAGCTGAAGATTGTTCAGGACTCTGCCAAGCAGTCGCCCACAGCCGAAAACTATGGGTGGAAAGCCTGCCAAGTGCTAAGCCACCTGTGCGCTAAGCCGAGCGCAGGGAAATGTACAGCTTGTGGAAGGTGTTGCAACCACCAGCAATACAGTATTTCTGGTGGTCAGGGAAGACCTCTGTGTGAAGTGACCTTTAAGCAGACACAGGAAGGAAGTGAGGGCTCTAGGCAGGCGGATGTGGAGAGAGAGGGTCCAGGTGCTCCCAGGGTGGGGTTGTGTTTGGGGCAATCAAGCAGCAGCAAGGGGTGGGTGAGTGAGCAGGGAGTTGGAGAAATTAAAGTTGGGGGTGGGGGCATGTGATTCTGAAGCCCACCTGGGTCCCGGCCGCCTTTGGCTTCATCTCCGCCACCTGGCTGCTCCTCCCCTCTCACCTGGACACCCGCAACAGCTCCTGAGCCTGGGGAAGAAGCCCAGAAGCTTCGGGTCCTGATGCAGCCTCATTTTTCCTCCTTCCAAGTCTTGGCGCCACCCTCTCCCCTGCCCCAGCCGTTCCCTTGTATTCTGTTCCTCCCACTGAATTGGACATCTGAATCCCACTCAACCTTCCAGGCCCACCTCACCCCTCACCTCCTCCAAGAAGCCTTTCCTGCCTTCTGAGCCTCTCACCTCACAGCCCAGGGTGGGTTGGTTGTGTCCCCATGGCCAGTCCCTCAGGACTCCCGAGGATAGAGGCCCTCCACAGCACTCTCTCCTCCCCATCCTTTCCAACTCATGGGACAGGAAGCTACACAGTCATCTTGGATGATCTGAGGGGAGGGGACTGTCCAGGATGGTCTACTTGGCTGGGCTGGGAGGAGAGTAGCACACTGGGTTTGTGGCCACCATCCCCGAGGCCCTGGATGTCAAAACTTCTAAATTTTGTCTTCCAGTGTTAAAGGGTAGGCTCTGGAACCACACTGCCTGGATTGAGTCCTAAATCCACCACTGAGCAGCTGAGCGATCTTGGGAAAGTTACTAGCCTCTCTGTGCTTTATTTCCCCATGTGCAAAACAAGGATAATAGTAGGGCTGTTGTAGTGTATATGTAAAAAGCACTGAGTTCAGCAGCACATGGCAGAGCTACGACTTACAGAATTATTAGCTACAGTTGTTACTACTAGGTTCAAATCTAGCTGCATCTCTGTGATCTTGGACAAGTCAGTTAACATCTGGACCACCAAAGCCCAGCCACTGTCCCCTGGCATCTCAAGTGTGCTTGTGCACGCGCGCACACACACACATACACAATGGATTTTGTTTTGTTTTGTTTTGTTTGAGACAGGGTCTCGCTCTGTCGCCCAGGCTGGAGTGCAGTGGCACGATCTTGGCTCATTGCAACCTCCACTTCCCAGGTTCAAGCGAGTCTCCGGCCTCAACCTCCCGAGTCGCTGGGACTATAGGCATGTGCCACCACACTTGGCTGATTTTTGTATTTTTAGTAGAGATGGGGTTTCACCACATTGGCAAGGCTGGTCTCAAACTCCTCAAGTGATCTGCCCACCTCGGCCTCCTGAAGTGTTGGGATTACAGACATGAGCCACCGCGCACAGCCAACACAAAATGTTTGTTCACTTGTTTACTGTCTGCCTTCCCTATTGCAGACCTGAACGTAAGCTCCATGAGGCAGAGCGTTGGTGCCGTTCATCAGTGAAGCACCAGCTCCCAACAAAGTGTCTGGCAAATGATAGGTGCTCAATCATTATTTGATAAACAAATGAACACACGTGGACTTTCTCCATTTGTCAAACAGGGGATGATCATTCCTGTCTCACAAGGCTGCTGTTGGAAATGAATGAGACCACAACACATGAAAGCCATTCAATTTTCCTCTACTAGTGGGAGAAGCATCTGGGGATGGCTATCTTGGAAGTGGACGCCAGGAGGCAGCAAAGGGCCAAGTCACTCAGGACACACTTAATCCTTGCGAGGATTTCCAACCCACCAGCAAGCAGGCAGAGGGAGCAGAAGAGACGAGGGGGGCCCTCTTGCAGCTCCTGCCATGTGCCAGGGAGCTGTAGGCTCTCGCGGAGCAGATTTATGCACCTCACTCGTTCCTTCAGCAAGCCTTAATTGGGTCACAGAGAGGTAAACAGATTCTCACTCTCGTGGAGCTCTGAGCCTAGCAAGGAGACAGCCTCTGGACACACAATCAGAGGAAGGTGTGCGCTGAAGGCAGCAGGCCTTCAAGTGCCCTTGAGCACAATGACCCTGTGTTTTCGGCTGAGATGTGATAGCTGAGCAAGAGTTAACCAGTGAAGAGGAAGGGAGATGTGAGAGCTTCAGACAGATGGAAGAGCCTGTGCAAAGGCCCCAAGGCAGGGAAAGGCAAGTCCATTTCATCTTCGGCCCAGAGACAAAAAGTGACTCTCCAAGATGACACTTTGAGAAGCAGAGCCCAGCTTTCTTGTTTCCCCTCCAGGCTCCATCCCTCTTCCCTAGTTTCCCTTCCAACAAGCTTCATCTCTGCTGTAGCAGCAGCTGGGCCGGAGGCAGAGGAATTTTGGCCCTGACACAGCCTGACCCAACTTCCCCAGAATATGAGCTCATAAGAGATTTTAATTTTGATGTCTAGACTAAGACAATGACCAAATGTCCTAGGGCGAATGAGGCTGATAAGAGCCTATATTTGGGGGAAACGAGGCAGCCCTCTCTGTTTTCATGTTTCAGAGTGGCCCTTGGCCAGGGCAAGGGGGCTGTGGAGGCCAGTGGAGCTAAGCATGGAGGCTTCTAACAGAGTGAGCGCATTGGCTGGTACTCAGAGATGCTTGGAAAGTTGCAGTTAAGACTGACCCTCATCTAGATGAGCATTCCAAGGAGGCTTAGCCTGGGACAGGGCAACCCTGTTTTATCAGTGGGAATAGATAAGGTTATACTGGAAACAAAACAACTGCTAAATCCAAGAGGCTTCAAACCATAAAGATATATTTCTCACTCATGCAGAGTCAACTTCATGCTTGCTGGGCGTGGCCCCTGGGTACCAGCCCAGGAGGAGAGCAAGGGAAAAATTGGAGCATCTGTAATTGAATGCTTCCACCCAGCGGCCACAGCCAGGTGCGTCCATGTCCAAGGTCAGAATGGTGGCTTGGTGCTGTCATCCCCTGTGCTGGAGAAGGAAGAGGCCCGGGAACATAGAGCAAGCATGGGTGTCCATCTCCCCACCGCAGCACAAACAGAGATGCCTGGGGAGCCACAGTGGGAGCCAGATCTCATTTAGCCAGTTGTCCCTAAAAGACAAGGCCTTGGGCTGGGCAACCTACCTCGAACAGTTGTGTCATTCATGAGCAATTACCCTCTGCCCCATGCTCCGGGGGTGTTAGGACATTTAATCCTCCCAGCAACACCGTTAGGCAGGTACTGATGTTCTCCCCCATTTTACAAATGAGAAAACTGAGGCATAGAAAGGTTAGACAATCTGGCTGAGTCCACCCAGCATGTAAATGCCAAAGTGAGACATCACACCAGGCGTCCCATCTCCGAACCTGTGCCCCTAGCCACCAAACAGATGTTGAGAAAGATTGGGATACCCCACAAAGAAAGGCCTGGGGGCCAGGGCAGGGGAGCCGGGGTGGGTGTAGGATGCAGAGGGCTACTGACACAAGTGCTTGCAGCTTTGCAGGGAGAAAAAGAGAGGGGGAAGAGGGGTTTTATGAGGAGCAGCTTCTGTGGTAAGCAAAGCTTTGAGTGGAGGTTGGGGAAGGAGGATTGTTAGGACTTTTTTTGCCACAGGATGCAAGTCCTGACTTTGTATTGTAGATTTCAGCAGAGATTTATGGCTTTTCCATGCCTTTTTCTTTTACAATTATTTTCTTTTTTTTTTTCTTTTTCTTTTTTTTCTTTTTTTTTTTTTTTTTTTGAGACAGAGTCTTGCACTGTCACCCAGGCTAAAGTGCAGTGGCATGATCTCAGCTCATTGCAACCTTCGCCTCCCAGGTTCAAGCAGTTCTCCTGACTCAGCCTCCTGAGTAGCTGGGATTAAAGGCACGTATCACCCTGCCTGGCTAATTTTTTTTATTTTTTTTATTTTTTTAATTTTTAGTAGAGATGGGGTTTCACCATGTTGGCCAAGCTGGTCTCGAACTCCTGACCTCGTGATCCACCCGTCTTGGCCTCCTTGCTGGGATTACAGGTGTGAGCCACCATGCCCAGCCTATTTGCATTTTTTGGTGTTGGGTTTTTTTTTCCCCTAATCTGGAAGGTTTTCTAACACATAGAATAGTTGAAAGAATACCCCTATCTGAGATTCACCATTAACATCTGACTGTATCCCCTTCATCAAGCTCTCTCTCTATTTCTCTTCTTCCTCCCCCTCTTTTGCCAAACCATCCAAAATTAAGTTGCAGACATCATGATACTCCACCCCCAAATACCTCTCTATCTCTCAGGACCAAGGTCATCCTCCTACGTAATCTCACACCAGTGCCACACCAGGGATAATCAGCGTTGGGCAACGTCACCCAACACAAAGTCCACACTCGCTTTCCACCATTGCTCCATAACATGCTGCTGTTTATTTTTCCAATCCAGGATCCTGTCAAGTGTCATGCACGGCATTTGGTGGTGTGTATCCCCCGACTCTGCTCCTCATGACACTAAATCTGAACAATCCAGGCCACATGTCCTGCAGAATAGCCCACGATTCCCAGGTTAGCTTCAGGCAGAACTTTTCCAGCAAGGGCCACACATCCTGCCAGCCCACAGCACGTGGACACGGCCCAGCCTGACTGCTTTGGGGAGGTGCTGGCTGCCCGGCCCTGCCATCCTCAATGCACACCCCCCTCTGCAGTGAATACAAAATCTCTGGAGTGATACTTCAAAATCTTGTTCCCCAGCCACTTGTATTCCATGGTCTCTTCACATGCACTGATGATACTCACCTGAATCACTTATCACACTAGAGGTTATGAATGTTGATTTTCTAATTTTTTTAAAGATAGGGTCTGGCTCTGTTGTCTAGGCTGGAGTGCAGTGGCACAATTATAGCTCACTGCAGCCTCAAATTCCTAGGCTCAAGTCGTCCTGCCTCAGCCTCCCGAGCAACTGGGACTACAGGCATGAGCCACCACACCCAGCTAATTTTTAAACTTTTTTTTACAGATGGGGTCTTGCTATATTGTCCAACATGAGATGGTGTCTTGCTATATAGTCTCCAACTCCTGGCCTCCAGTGATCCTCCCACCTCGGCCTCCCAATAATTATTTACATAGATAACAAGAGGAGGCCTGGTTCTTTTGATGCAGAACTATCTGAGACTTGTCTCCGGCCCCCCAGTGCCTTCCAGGTCACCCTGATGGCAGGTGGTAGGAGGATGGGCAGGCTATCATGGTAGAGGAGGCTGGTGCCAGGCCCAGTTCCATCACTAACTGCCTGTGGGGCCCAAGTTGGTCTCAGAACCAGCAGCACTGACTCACCTGGGAGATGGTTGGAAATCCAGGCCTCCAAGTAGGAATCTGCATCCCAATGACTCCAGGGGACCTGTGTGTAAGTGAACAGAGTCTGGCAAGAGATGGCCCAAGGAACCCCATAAGCCTCTCTGAGCTTGAGCCTTTCAAGGTTGAGACCATGAGTCAAACAGGCTCAGGCCCATGTTTTTCAGAAAAGCAGATTCTAATACCCGCCTACACAAGAAGGTGATGAAGGTTATGATGACAACAGCAACAACAACTGCCATTTCTAAGGAAGGAAAACGAGCTTGGACATTTCACCAAGGTTTCTGAATAGTATGTTTGTAATCAATAAGAAGGGTAGAATTTGTAGAGGGGGGGCCTGGGGGTCATTAATCAGAAATGTGATGGGTTGGGTTGACCTGTTCTATCACAGGGCCACACGGACAGTCTTTCTAAAGTTTCTGCACTGCAGAAAGAGAATAGCCCACGCCAGGGGCTGGCAGGAGGGAGCAGGGACAGAGGGGATGGGAGGGAAGAGGAGGCTGGGTGCGTGGCAGAGCACAGTGAGGCAAAAGCCTGCAATTGCCTTGAGTGTCCTTAGCCTCATGTGTTCGCTTCCAGATTCATGTCAAATTCTCCTGTTTCATAATAAATCCATGTTTGTTTCAATATTTTAAAATGGTTTTAAACTGCCATCAGGAGAACATCAGTTTCCTATCCTATTCATCCCACAGCTTTGTCCCTCCCCAAAGCAGCCCTGGGCCCCAGGGATTTGTGAAGTTTCCAGCAGAGAGGGACCCAGCAGAGAGGAACCGATCCACAGCTGCAGGAGGCCTTGGGGTGTGGATAGGCATTCACAGCTGCAGAGAGACAAGGAGGCTCCGATTTGTCCAGAATCTCAACTGGGTGAGATGCTTCTGCTCCACACAATCCTCACCTGTGTCCAGTGCTTTCATCTGCAAGGCTTTTACTCCAAACTCCCCTCCCATCAGGTTTTATACAAGCTCCATGGGCCCCGCTGGCCAGGCATCATGACCATCCCATTCTACAGATGAAAGAGGCTGAGGCACAGAGCAGCGCAGCAGTTCATCTGAGAGTGCATGTCAAGTGACTCAGGTATTCCAACTTCTGGACCAGTGAGTCTTCCTGCTGGCCTGGCCCGGAAGTCTCATCCCTTCCCCTATGCAGAGGGAGGCATCTTCCAGTAGGACAAGCAGGATGTGGTGCACTTGCCCGGCAGTGTTGCCAGGGGTGGAGGAGAAAGGTTCCGTCTGCCTACTCCAGGGTAATCAGAGCCTCAGGAAAGGAGGCTGTTCCACATCAGCGGTCAAGTGAGAGGAAGGGGAGACTGGGAGAGCCATAAGTTCTCAAATCCAGGCAGCCCCAGGCTCGCCCATTTTCAGGGCCTGTGGCCACCCCAGGCTGGAGAGCAGAATGTGCACAGTTTGGGGGTTGGGGAACAGGAGTGACCTTGAAGAGGCATCAGGTTTCAGCCCGGGCAAGGATGTTTTCTCGCAGTCACTGGGATGAGATAGGTTGCCTGAGCAAATAGTAAGCTTCCTGTCCAAGAACTATGCAAGCAGAGGCTGCCTGACCTCACCCTCCAACAGGCATACTGCAGGCAACTGGCAGGCCATGTGTCGCTTCCATCCTCAGGACCCCATTCCAATAGGTGAAGCAAGTCTCAATGCTTTGGCCCTTGCCCTCACTTTTGGTTTCACCATGAGGGGTGGTGGAGGATCCCACTGAAGGCCATGTCTGCTGTCTCCATGTGGTCTGGCAGAGGACATCAAGTCTCCTGGAGAGGAGATGACCACAGAACTAGGAATCAGGAAACCCTTCCAACCCCACAGCATTGATCTATGGATGCTGTGTGTCTGAGCAAGTCACTTCACCTCTCTGAGCTGTCCATTCCCTTCTAGGCAGTGAGAATATTGCTCCTCCCACCTCAAAGGGCTGATTTTGGACACTCTTAAGAAATGGATGAGGGACCAGATTTTCAAAGTGCACTCTTGCTATCCCAGAAGACATTAGGATACTATTATCCCCATTTTGCAGATGGAAGAAAAGGAAGCCCAGAGAGGGGAAGCAGCTTTTCGAATGTCACAAAGCATGTCAGAGGCAGATTCCAGACTTGAACTCAGGGCTCCCAATCTCCGTTCAGAGTTGTCTCTCTCAAAAGACCCCATGAGCAGGATCACTGGAGAAAGGCAGGGTCCCCTCCCTTCCTGAACATGTCAGTTTTCACAGTAACTGGTGAAGGAGCCCTTTGTCTCTGCAGTAGGACTTAGCCTGACTGAACAGGAGGACACTGGCTCTCTCTCCCCTTCCTGGAGTGCAGGGGATTCCCTTCCAGAAAACCTCATGGCTCTGCCACCCACACCCAGGCTAGACAAGAAAGATGCCCACACGTACCTTGCCCTAGGAAGGCTGGGGACCCCTCCCAGGTCTGCCCCAATTGTCACTCTCATTGGAATAGCATGTCCACGTTTACAAAATGCTAGGTGACCTTGTGCAAGTCCTTCCCCCCTCACTGGGCCTCAGTTTCCCCATCCATAAGCTGTATCAGAGGTTGGGTGTCAATCTCTCACCAACGTTAGCTCAGAACCAGCTCTGGCATATGCAACAAAAATGGAAGCTTTGTTTCTTTCTTAAACCGAACAGATTAAAATATTCTGGTCCAAGGGAGCCTCGTGTGAGTCCAGTCCCCATGCGGCTCTCACATTCACAGCATCCTCCCCAAGCCCGAGGGCTCCAGATGGAAAGGCTCTTCTGGGCAGCGGGCCAGGCACATCTGCTTCCACTCAGCGCCCTCAACCGGCCGCTCTGCCAAGGCCTTGGCCCACAGCCTCTCAGGCCTTGGGGGCCTGGAGAGAGCGCCGGGTCCCATTATGGGGAGACAAAGGCCCCTGGCAGGACAACACTTGTAGCTGGCACATGGCTCTCTCGGCCCTGCAACAGCGGCCAGGCCTGCTCCCAGCCCAGACACCAGGAGGCCAGCCAGGGCAGATGCTCAGTGACTCAGGGGGCACAAAGAGAGGCCATGAGTGTTTTACACAGACGCAGGTCCTACAGGGCTGAGGGCCAGGGAGGGAAGGGCAGTCACCCAGAGGTGTGGCTGCTGGAGGGGAGGCTGAGGGGCAGCCCGGGCCTAGTGGTGGAGGAAGGTGTTGGCTTCGGCGTCAGACCTGAGTTCGAATCCTCACTGTGCCACCTCCTAGTGGGCAACCTCAGGCACACCCTTCGCCCTGTCTGGTTTCTCATCTGGAAAATGGGATGATGATGTTACCAAGTCTCACGATCACTGTGAGAATTACATAAGTCCAGGCATGCGAAATGTCTTATATGTAGTGATGCCAAGCCAAGAGTAGTTGCTGTGGTTATTGTTATTCTTATTACTACTGTAGACATTAGTGTTGGGAAGAATGAAGGAGGTCTTGGTTTTATATCCTGCTCCCAATACATTGCCCCAAACAGCAAGCAGACAGGTTTCTAGATGCCATTACAGCCACAACACAGAGGGACAGAGAAGTCCTATGGGGACTGGGTAGGTGGAAACAGCTGGGAGGTAGAGGCGGGGCCCTGAGGCCTGTCCTGTCCGTATCCTACGGTGTAGCCCCAATCCACCTTGACCACACAGGGGTTCAGGACCTACAGGCTCTGACCTGAATTCTGAGACTCTGGAGGTCTTCACTCAGCAGCATGGTTATAAAATCTATTTTAAGAGTGAAGGACAATGGAGCAAGCCCTGTGGGTCTCCTGGGACAGAATGGCCTGACCCTCTCTACCAGAGCAGTGCGACTTCACAGCAAGGGCACGGCCACCAGGTCAACAAACTTTCAGCCAGTCTTGAGGACCTCATTTCTAATGGCAAGGGCAGCCTCAGGGTCTAGGGTTCCTCTGGGGACAGAGGACAGGCTGATGTGGTAGCTGCTTTCTATAAGTCTGCACTTCTGGGATGTGGCACTTCAGGAGAGGGCACTGACCACTCCTGGGCACACTATCATTCTCTCCCCAGGAATCTGGCAGTGATGGGTTATTAGTTGATGCAGAAATATTTGCTGAACATTTACTTTGCATTCTGGGACAAATGCTGTCCAAGCAGAGCAGAGCTGTGGCTGGGAAAAAACAGGGAACAACTGTTGCCCTCAGAATGGTCAGGGAGGGCTCCTGCAAGGAGGCATCAGTGCATGAGAAGGCACGAGGTAGAAAGAAGGGAGCAGAGAGAAATATACCCCAATTTTTCTCCTTTCTCTGTGTCCAGATCTTTTGCCCAGTGATCTTATAGCTGGTTCTTATCACTAAAGAGGCAGAGTCTAGCACCAGGCACAGTGGCTCATGCCTGTAATCCCAGGAGGAGGCTGAGATAGGAGACTCACTTGAGCCCAGGAGTTCGAGACCAGCCTGGACAACATACAGAGACCCCAACTCTATAAAAAAATTTAAAAAAAAATTAGTCAGGCATAGTGGCAAACGCCTGTAGTCCCAGCTACTCAGGAGGCTGAGACAGGAGGATTGCTTGAGCCCAGGAGGGCAAGGATTCAGTGAGCCATGATTACACCATTGCACTCCAGCCTGGGAGACAGAGCAGCACCCTGTCTCAAAAAAAAAAAAAAAAAAAAAAAAAGAGGCAGAGTCTATTTCCCCACCCTTTACTCTGGCCTTAGCCACGTGGTTTTCTTTGGCAGTAGGATGTTAGGAAATGGCCCACACAGAGGCTGAAAACATGCATCAGGATTCTGCCTTTTACCTTGGACCCCTGCCTTCACCCCAGCAGGTCTGCTAGGGAGAAGGAAAGGCACATGAAAGAGAAGCCTGGTTGTCTAAGCCACCCCAGCCAAGACCAGCCCAGACCAACCAACTGTCCATCAACCACCAACACGTGAGGGAGCCCAGCCAAGATCCAGATCCACAGAACCACCTGCTTCACCCACAGCTGCCTGCAAATGCTTGAGTGAACCAACCAAGACCAACCGAGACCAACCAGCACCACCAGATCTGCGGAGCTGCCCAGCCCACCCACTGCCTCCCAAGAAACCATGAATGGTTGTTGTTTCAAGTCACTAGGTTTTGGAGTGTTTTGTTACCTGGCAGTTAACTGAGACTGATAACTGATACAGGGGGAGGGCATTCCAGGCAGTGGGAACAGCAATTGCTCAGAGATAAGAAAGAGCTGGGTGAGTTGAGAGAAACCAAAAAGAAGGTCAGCATAACTGAAATGCAGTGAAGGACCAGGAGGGAGAGAGAAAATGAGATTCCAGAGGTGAATGGGAGTCAGATCACGCAGAGCCTTGAAGACCATTGAAAGGGCTTGGACACTTTTTAAGTACAGTGAAAGCCAGCGGTAGGTTTTAAGAACATAGTGGAGCTGGGCAGCAGGAGGCAGGGGCCAGGGCGGGGAAACCAGTACAGGCATTTGATGCAATTGACTTTAAACCTCCCTCTGGTCACCCTGGGGGGATGGATTAGAAGTGCCAGGAGTGGAAATGGAAAGACCAGTTATGGTCTTGCAAAACAGGTCTCAGGCACTGTTCACACCAACCCTGCAAAGTGTACATATGGGGAAACTGAGGCTGAAGGAAGGGGAGGAAATTGCCCATGGTCATACAGTGAATCCTATGGCAAGGGTATTGGGACCCTGGGCTCCTGATTTCTAGTCCAGAATTTTCCCTCCTGTTCCCCTTGGGCTTTAGCAAGGAGTCAGAGGAAAGAGGTTCACCCCCACCCGCACCCCTATCCCGAAGCTCATACACTACACCTCTGATGCTGCCTGCCATCTCTCCATCCAGCCGCCTCTCTGCCCATTTCCAACACTGGATGAAATTTCTTCTTTCCCACACTATCCTCAGTCCTCTCAGACTTTCATCTCCGGTGCTCAGGGCTGACTTGGGTTTAACTGTGATTCTTTCTGTCTTGAACGGCTTCCTAACTAACCATTCACTGCAAGGCACCCTCCACCCAGCTGCCAGAGGGATCCTTCTGGTTCTGCTCCAGAATTCTCCATGCCTGCCACCGCCTTCAGAATAAAGTCCAATCTCCCTAGCCTGGCATTCGAGTACCTCCGCGATTGGGCCACCTCTCCAGCTTGAAGAGCATGAACTCTCTAGTTGGATTGTCTGGGATTCAAACTCCACTCTCTTTGTGGGACAGGAAGAAATCTCCTAGACTCTCTGAGCCTCTACTTCCTTGAAGCTAAAATGGGTACAGCAATAGGACTCATCTTGCCCAGTCGTGGTAAGAACTGACTCACCTGCCTGCTGGTACCTGGCTGATAACCAGGGCTCAGTGAATGACTGCCCTGTTGCCGCTGCCCTCTTTGGCGGGGTGAGTTCTCATGAAACTGCACTCTGTGGGGGGTCCCTTCAGTCACCAGCATTCCTGTTTTGTTTCCGTTTCCAGCATCGTGAAGGTGAGAGTCAGGAACTTTTGATCCTATAGAGCAGCAGTCCCCAACCTTTTTGGCACCGGGAACCAGTTTTGTGGAAGACAGTTTTTCCACAGACAGGAGATGGAGATGGGGATGGGGAGGGACGGTTTCGGGATGAAACTGTTCCACCTCAGATTATCAGGCATTAGTTAGATTCCCTTAAGGAGCCTGTAGCCTAGATCCCTGGCATGCACAGTTCACAATAGTGTTTGCAATCCTATGAGCATCTAACGTCTCTGCTGATGTGACAGGAGGCGGGGCTCCGGCAGTAATGCTCACTCACCCGTAGCTCACCTCCTGCTGTGCCGCCCGGTTCCTAACAGGCCACTGGT